CATCAGAAATGGGGGAGGGGAAGGGGGTTCTGAAATAAATAGGGAGAGAGTGGGAGGCGGATAGAAGATGGATAGTTGCAGTGGGAGAGAGATCCACTGAGGTCTTTCCGGAGGGAGGAGGATAACTTCTTCAAGGTAGGCATCCTTAGAAGAGGCTTCGCAGTGGGGTTAAAATTGTTTCAGAGCTAGTAGGAACTGCAGATGCTGGAGAATCTGAGATAACAAGGTGTAGAGCTGGATGAACACAGCAGGCCAAGCAGCATCAGAAGAGCAGGAAAGCTGACGTTTCGGGCCTAGACAACCTTCTATCTCATCTTTCAGAATCACCTCCAATAACTTACCCACCACTCAAGACAGGCTCACAGGTTTGTAGTTCCCAGGCTTCTCCTTACAGCCTTTCTTAAATAAAGGCACATTAGCCACCTTCCAGTCTTCCAGCACCTCACCCAGGGTTATAGATGATACAAATATTTCTGTTAATGGCTCCACAATTTCTTCCCTAACTTCCCACAATGTCCTGGAATACGCTTCATCAGGTCCCGGAGATTTATCCACCCTTATGTTTTCTGAGACCAATAGCACTTCCTCTTTTGGTAATGTGAACTGTTTTCAAAACATCAATATTTATTTCCCCAAATTCTCAAGCCTCCATTTCTTTCTTCACAGTGGTGCAATATATTCGTTATGTTTCCCATCACCTGTGGCTCAACACTTAGACCATCTCATTGATCTTCAAGGGGCTATATTCTCTCTCTTGTTGCTCTTAATGTACTTGTAGAATCTCGTTGGATTATCCTTAATCCTCAACTCCATTATCCTGCCTACTCCCCATAACTCTTAACCCATCTCTAATTAAAAATCTATCCATCTCCTTCTTCAGTCCCAGCAACCTCCTCACTCTGGGGGGAACAAATTCCAAAGGTTCAAGATCCTTTGAGAGAATTCTCTGTTTTAAATCTGCCAACCCATATCCTATAACAATGACCTCTTGTTCTAGGAGCAAATATTTGGTCAGCACCTGTGATATCTCACCATTGAAACTGGGACTTTCCAAGGCCAGTCTAATAATTTCTCCAATAGTTTAAGGGATAAATTAATTAGTAGGATGAATGTTATCAGTAATTGCTTTTATTATGTGCAGATAAAGGGGACTGGAACAATCTCTTCCCCCTGAGGAAATGCCGTTGAAGACATGTTTACCAGAACCTGACAACACATTAATCATATGCATTGTTAAAACATAAAGGCTTCGTTATTACTCAGACATGTGCAGAGGAAATGTCCATTTAGTCTTCATTTCTCAACCATATTTATAGCATTTGGAAACTTTCAGCTTTTTTCTTCTTGTTATTACACTGATAAGCAGTGATGATATGAATTTAAAAAGATTTACTCTCTGAGGGGAAATTGTAAACTAGAGCATTTTTCAGGGAGCTTTCTGAACTAGGAATCACAGGTCTTTCCACTAATTACTTGAATTTATGAGCCATGAGCCAATCTCATGTTTATTGTTTGAAAACATAACAAATGATGTAATGTTTCCACTTCCTTTTTGCCCTTGGCATCCACCCTTGCTCTAACCTTATGGGGCTGTGCTGTTGGATATAGCCAGTGATGTGGTATTTTATGGTGGGGGCAGGGAGTTGTGTGGTGGAGTTCAGCAGGGCTCAGTGTCAGTGTCAGTGTCATGTCCTGGTGCCCTATCTGACCCCTCAGGTGAATGTGAAAAATGGCATGACATCATTTACTGTGCTGGTTAATATTCATCCCTTAACCAACGAAACAGGCAATATAGTGAATTTAGAACAGCTTGAGTGGTACTACATAAATGCACTACAATAATGCCATCACTACAACCCACCGTAAGGTGTTACTCTCTCATTAAAATGTTGAAATGATGATATTTGTTGGGATTGGACTGTCAACAGTGAAACAATGGAATTCAGTCAGCTCTGTTACTTTTCATTATGAAAGAACATTAATCCCTAATAAACTTATCTCTTCACCTCCCAGATTTCAGTGCCTGTGGATGACGAATCCATGTCAGAATGCAAAAAGAAGAACTTGGTGAGTTCTGCTCCTGAGAAACTTTCAAATCTGTTTCACTTTGCTGAAACTCAAAAGTTAGACAATACCTCCCGGAAGTCTCTGTACCAGTTTTATAATCAACTTTTTATACAACTTGGTCTGTCTTTTTCCCGTCATGTTTGATTGTTTCTGTTTTGTAATAACAATCTCCTGTGGCATTGATAAACCCATTTCACAATCGGAGCTGCTCTTCCTGCACCATTCCTGAAATTTCACTCAGTTCCTGGTGATTTTGTCTCCTCAGTGATCTACCATAGCCAGTGATGACATGGAGCAGTCAGTGACGGGGCAGTTTTCCTGTGAATTGTGAACAGGAGATTGAATGGTTGTAAAGGGTGGATACATGGACGGCAAAATTACATGAGCTGTGAGCCTGGCACTTACAACAGTCCCTTATCTCCCAGAGACCACTGCAGTTGCCCTCTCAGTGGAGGGCACCTCATTGGGAAGGAGCCAGTTACTTATCCTGTCAAGTCCCTGAGGCCAAATGGTAGCGTCCTCATTTGCTGAGTTTACAGTCCAACCCTGGAATGTGGAGAGGAGGCAATGGACCAGCATTTACCCTTCCCAGCCCCTCCCATTGGTACCCACAAGCTTCCGAGAGAGGGAATGATCCAACCAGCAGACTCAACTCCAGGAGAAATTTAAAGGATTCTGAGATATTACACCCCCCCCCCCTCACCACGACCCCAGCACCCTGCCCCCTCCCCCAACTCTCAGCCCACAGCCCCTGGCCCTCTGCTTCCAAAACCCCTCACCGCACCTCCATGCCCCTATCCCCACCCCCCAGCCACTCTTCCCCCAGCTCCCAGCATCACCTGCCCCTTGGCCCTGCACCCCCGACCCCGGCTTATGGAATACCAGCCTGCCCCAGTCAGTGTCAACATTGAACAACCCTCTGGCAATAGGCTAGCTCTCCATATCCTACTTGTTGATGGACAATCAGCCACCGAGTGAACCCTCATTGGATGTCTGGCCAGCCAATGGAGCTTGTGCTTGTTTGAAACTGTGTCACTGGGGATTTATCTTGGGACATGGCTATCCAAGGAAGTTGCTAGATGCAGCATTTAGCTGTATGCCCTGGTGGAGGTGCAGATATGTTGTGATCGTTGCTCTTTCCTGACGAAATGCCAGGCTATTTCTCAGAAGCTGTCTTTCAATACCTTGTTAAAAATGTTTGCTTCAACCTGACATGGGCCAGGTCTGGAGCCCTGCCTCTTTCTCCCCAGCAGAACAATCTGGAGGCTTTGTGTGTTGAGAACAATTTTCAAAGTGTTGGTCAGGGTGTTGGTCATTCCCCATGTTTGGAATGTGGCCCTGCTCCCACCCTAAACGAAAGCTCCTTCTTCAGCTACAGCCACATTAGAATTGTGCAGTGAGTTTGGGCATGTTGTGGTGAGTTAGCATTGAGACTTTTCATATCAATGTATAGAAGCCTCTTGGAACACATTCCAAACAAAATGGGTTTCTTTGGTTTGCTGTTTCCTTGAAAATATTCATGGTCTTCATTTAACTTCAGGCATACTGTGAGAATATTATCATGGTCCTGCAAAGATTCAACAGAACTCGTCTTCTTTTGTGTGGAACCAATGCCCGGAATCCACGATGCTGGTCACTTGTAAGTATGTTTTGGCTAAAATTGACTGCCTATTCCTTCAAACTCAGCCTTGCACCTTAACGTTTTGGCAAAAGCTGCATAGAGAGACAAGATGGAGGGAGCTGGAACATACTGGGCTGAGTGATGTATCTGGATGATAGTGTATACAGGTGAGATTAGATTGCCTGCCTGTTATACAGCTGTCCTATTGGCCAGGCTAACTATTGAATGGCTACTCTGAGATTCCCCCAAAATCAAAGCTAACCTGCGTTCGACCTCCCCGCGCCCACCCCCCTACAGCCTCCCCCCACCTCCTCCAAGTCATTGATGGGGGAATGGTCTTCTTCAGCTTCTGAGCCAGTGACTGCCCGCTTGCCTTTTCCCTGTCTATGGATCATTGTTGCCAGATGCCAAGTGGTTCTGAACCAATCAGAGCTGGGAATTGACTTCAGCCCCATCTTCTTTTGGTGTATCTCCCGGTATCAAGGTCAAGGGCAGTGGGGACAGAGAACCGGAAGAGGGCAGGTTCTCTGTGGGCTTTTCATCTGTGGGATTGGGCATCGAAGGCTAAACCAGCATTTATTTCTCCATCCCTAAATTTCCCTGGAGAAGCTGGTGTTGAACTGCCTTCTTGAACTGCTACAGCGGTGTAGGGACACCCCCAGTGCTGCTAAGGAGGGATTTCCAGGATTTTGGATTCGTGCACTTTCAGGGAAATCTAGCAACTGATAATGAAGAAAATATTCTGAATAATTTCCTTGCCATCATCTTATTCATTTGCAAACCTGCACTTTGATGGCATTAGCTCCATTGAAATATGTCACTGGGCTGTGACATCAGTCTAAGGAAAATGATGTCCTTACTCTTAAAGAAAACTAATTTCCCATACTCCCTTTAATATGGCTGTGCATCTAAAACATTAGCCCAAAGGCAAAATCAAAGTATGATAAACCTATCGCTCAAATACTTTAGCAAGTGCTGTGGCTCTGAGCACACTTTTTTTCCAATGAAATGTTTTGAGGCAAGAAACCAGATTCTGGGGAACCTTGGAACAACAACAAGGAAATTGCTAGAGGGAACAAGACAAAGATTTATTGCCATTTACCATCCTATCAACTCTTTCCGCTTATGTAAAATTCCTACCTGTATGATTATTTGCCATGATGTGATGTATGATCAACCTGTTAATTTTAGAAAATAAAAATGCTGATGAACTGCAATGATTTTACAGAATAACAAAAATTTGAGTCAAATCATCAATGGAGGAGGACGCTCCGTAGGACGAGGATTATGTCCTTTCACTCCAAAACACGGCTTCACCTCATTGGTTGAAGGTGGGTCCCCTCGCAATTGATGCTCATATTCGTTCATTGATCAGGGACTCACTTACTGAGTGTGTGTGCTTGACTTCCAATGACAGGAGAAAAATTCTACTCAGCTGCCCCTGTATTTGAGAATGGAAATATAAATCTTCGAAGGTATATGGAACAGAGTCCGTCATGGTTACTTTCTGTTGATGAGTGGCTGAATGGTAAGCATAAACACAATCGCCTTTCATCAATCTTTTTGATGTCTCAATCCACACATATCAGCCTGTATCTCTCTTTCCCACGATCACTGCTATAAAGTTATGACTACTTCCCCCTCCTTCTGACCCAGTCTGTCATGGAAAACAATGAAATCAGATTCATCCTTTATTCATTCACGGGATGAGGGCGTCGCTGGCCAGGCAGCATTTATTGCCCACCCCTAATCGCCCAGAGGGCATTTGAGAGTCAAACACATTGCTGTGGGTCTGGAGTCACACGTAGACCAGACCAGGTAAGGATGGTAATTTCCTTCCCTAAAGGGCATTCGTGAACCAGATGGGTTTTTTCCTGACAATCGACAATGGATTCATGGTCATTGTTAGATTCTTAATTCCAGATATTTACTGGATTCAAATTCCATCATCTGCTGTGGTGGGATTCAAAGCCAGGTCCCCAGAACATTATTTGGGTCTCTGGATTAACAGTCCAGGATTAATACCACTAGGCCATCGCCTCCCCATTCACGACCATTGTCAGAGGTTCACTAACCAAGCACCAGACATCTGAGGAAATAAAGGCCTGTAAATTGTCTGCAGATTCCTGGAACATGGGCACTGAGGCCAACTGAACCCCCAAGCTTCCCCCACTTGCCCACCCCATCAACCATATTGTTTTCAGATCATGTCCCTCAGCACAGACTGGGGCTTGATTGCAGTGATTCAATGTCACCCCGAAACTTTATTTAATCACTGAGTTATGGGGAGACCATGCTGGTGATGTTGTCATGGTGATCCTGTCATGGTGAACTAAACAATAAGGAACTGTCTGTTTTGTTCCCTCGCTGTTTGCTTCCTTCCTTTTTTTTTATTGTTAACTGAAGGCCAGAATTTGCCTTGAGACAGATGGAACCCTGACCTCATTATTCCGCTTTGGTAGCATAAACTTAGACTTGATGAGGCCCAATTTGAGGCCCCAATGTCCTGACCAATGTCCAAACGGAAAGTAGATGAGACCATTTCTGTGGCATCCTTGATGGATGTCTAAAACAGGCGGCAGGTTCATAACACATAGAGGGAAGGGGCTTAAGGTTTATTTCTCATCCTTGCATAGGATTGGACCAGGCACTGTCAGACTTCTTTGGACTATCTGGGAAGGCCAAGAGTGACAGGAGGGCTTCCCTGATTTGCATGCCGCATGACGACACCTCCCTTCACTGGTTATAGACCCCTCTATAATGGCGAACCTTTACCAGGGCACTGGCCAGAGCAATCAAGCAGACACTTTCCCATTCTACATATGACTGATTTATTGGCCACAATAACAACAGGAAGTGTTGCTAAAACTCAACAGGTGTTGCAGCATCTGTAGTGAGAGAAACAGAGTTAACGTTTCGAGTGTGTTATGATTCCTCTTTGGAATTGAAAGGATCTGGAAAAGTGATGGGTTTTATGCTGTAGAAAAGTGAGGGGGAGGAGAAAGTGGAACAGATGGGAAAGGTGACCAGAATAGAGGGCAAATTGAATTCTAATGGTAGTAGAGGAATGAATTCTAATGGTAGTAGACAAATGAAACAGATCAGGAATAGGTGTTAATGGACAGTGTTATAGCTGCAAAAAGCATCAGCTAAATTTGCACAGTTATTCCAGAGGCTGGCAGAGATTGTTCAGTTTGTGATACTGAGGGAATCCTTAGCAGAACACATCTTACATTTTGGAACCGCAAGGACAAGAATCAATGCTCTCTTGTTGACCAATTATTAATAATCAATGTTGGCGTTCCGGTGGATAAACATTGAGCCATAATTATGAGCGTCAGTCTTGTGTACTGTTCAGTGATCGGTGCAACTGACGTTCCTCAAAGACAACAAACAGAATTACAGATAAAGAGATACGAGGGAAAGTAACTGAACCCCTCTTCCTTGTAATTTGATAAAGTAGGAAGTAGTGAGTCATTTGTACTGAGAAAAAGATTTTCATCATTCCTGTGTTGTAAATTGTGAAGCAATTCTATTTCAGAAGGGTGACAACATCAAGTGATATGATGCTGATGCCAGTGTCTTAGCGCTGTGATCAAGGGAGACAGAGTTTCACACAGGAGGAGTTACATGTTCGTAATCTTGTGCAATGATTTTTATTTGGACTTGGCAGAAAGTCACAGTGAGCACTTAGTAATTGCACCAACGGGGCCAGGGTGGATAAGCACAGACTCATCAGGAAAGGATGTTGAAACCTTTCACAAGCATACGGGAATTGTGAAATAATGAGGATTGGGAGAAACGGGGAGTTTCAAACATTTAAATTGTATGGAATGTAAACAGGGCTCCCTGCTTTTCACTATGTGGGTTCAAGTCTCCTCCCGCCGCCCTGCTCCTGAGATTTGCGCATACAGTCTAGGCTGGCACTATAGTGCATTACTGAGAGCGCGTGCCATCTTTTGGCTGACCTCTTCAATTTGTTTGTATCTATTTGCACTTTGTGAGATTGCTACATTTCACCACAAGATGTTCCAGTGCTTGAAACATTTATTTTCTGCCTCGTGTGATGAAACCTATTTCTTGAACATTGATTGTTACTTCTCTGTGAAGTGTAATATCTGGAACAGACCAGGTTCCAGAATAGGTAGATGGCACCATTCCATTCTTCCCTGTGATAGAGACAGGGCTTATTCAAGATCTCCAAAACATCATCCAGAAGAGTTCAGGAGTCACTGAAAAGCAGTTCCAGCATCAGACTAAATTGGAGACAGAGACAGGGACAGACTACACATTAGGAATGTTAACACTCTATGTTAAGAATGATGATTTTCTCTGGTCTTTAAATAAAGGTAACTGATCCCTAAACAGATCATAACATAATGTTATGATTTTGTCTGGAATAGCAACATAATATTGGTGATCTGGTCTGTGATAATAACATTATGAAAACAGGTGAGTCACTCTAATCGATACAAGATTCACTGAAGAGCAGATCACAGGTCAGAGACAGTTTTAGTCTGGGAGGGAGAGTCAGAGGAGTTGACTTGATGTTGGTCAGAAACGGTTGAAGCTGAAGCTTGCTTCCTTCAGGCTGCTGGTCACACAGGCATTTACAAGCATCAGAATAAAGGCTCCATACTGCAAGGGAGCTGTTATCAGCAATCTCCATGCGGTTAGGATGGGGAAAGCAATGGCCTTGTGGTATTATTGCTGGACTGTTAATCCAGAGACCCAGATAACGTTCTGGGGACCCGGTTCAAATGCCGCCACAGCAGATGGTGGAATTTGAATTCAATAAAATATCTGGAATTAAGAATGTCCTTTCAGGGAAGGAAACAAAACTGCCATCCTTACCTGATCTGGCCTACATGTGACTTCAGACACACAGTAATGTTGTTGACTCTTAACTGCCTTCTGAGCAATTAGGGAGGGGCAATAATTGCTGCCTAGCCAGCAATGCCCTCATCCCGTTAACAAAAAAAGAACTTGTAGAAGTTGTGAGGAGTTGAGAAGGCAGCAGAAGATGGTTGGTTATTAGAGCTCAGAATGAGCCATAGAAACCTTTGATATTTCAGTGCAGCTGAGAGTTCAGGGTGAGGGAAGCCCACAGGCAGTATTTGCTTGAAGCAGGAGAGAAATATTAGAGCCCAGAAAAGCCAGGGTGGTGCTATCTTACATAATCAGGTTCAGTGTAAAAGAGCTGGAGTTGTGGCCATGAATGCATGCAGGAGTTCAGTCTTGGGAATTCAGTAGAACACTACCTAAGGAGAAGAGATTGAACTAGCAGGACATGAGCATTCAGTGAACCAGTGCCTGGTCCTTGGGAGAATTCCAAGGGTAGATCCTCAAACATGAAGATTTATAATCCCTTGTGAATGAGGCAATGTTTCATTGAGATTTGGTGATTCACATTATCACTGTTGTTTAAGAACAGTGCTGCTCAGAAATCCTTAGGAACCATCTTGACTGCATTTACCATTGAGTGCTCTGTGGGGTGTTTGACCACAGTTTGTCTATGAACCCATTGTTATCCTGTGTTATAATTGGATGCTAGAGTATCAATTGTATGTGTAGTTTTATATATCAAACTTCATCCACTTGAAATGAAATTGAATTTGCTGGCCCTACCCAGATTTTACTAAACATTTGGTGGTCTTTCTAGAATGATAATGGATGTAAATGACACATGACACTTTGTTTCTCCCCTGTGTCTTGGTGAATATTTATCTCTCCATCAACATCATAAAACACAATTTGACCATTTCTCCCTTTGCCATCTGTGGAAGCTCATGTTGAGTAAATTGTCTGTTGTGTCTCCTATATTACAACAGTAACCAAACTTCTAACAATGGCCATAAGGTGCTTTCCGATAGACTGAGATAACAAATGGTGCTACAGAAATGCAAGCGTTTCTTTTAGAACCTCTCAACGCAGACTCCAGTCATCTTTAGTTTCTCATGTCTGGAGTTCCCAATTTAAGATGTATTCCCCTTGAACTGTTCCAGGCTGTGCCCTTGACTGTTCATATTGTGATATTATTGATCCATATTCCTGTTTCCTCCCTTCTGCCTCCTGTTTAGATCCCAGTTTTGTGGGAATGTCACCAACTGGTGACCATGTTTTGATGTTCTTCCGGGAAAGGAATTTGTCAGAAAACCTGGACATTGACCCCTGGATATCACGGATTGCTTGTGTGTGTAAGGTGGGTGAGTCCAACAGATGGAGTGACTGGTTTTTATTTTAAGCTGAGTGTTTCATATGTAGACTCTAACCTTCACTACAACCTGTTGTTATATTTGCCTGAGAGACAGGTGTTCAGCACTGTTCCTGGCTGTTATCAATGTTCTACAGAGCCCCTTTAGGGTGCTGTTGGACTGTCCCATCCCAATAATGGGCAAAGTGTTCATCTTCCTGACCTGATGGATTACTGAAGTTTCAGATTGGAACTCATAAGAGTAAACTCCTCAGTTTCACCACGTTTGCAGCAAGTGGATGATCCTCTTTATTTATAGCAATGTCATGTATAAATACATTTAACATTCATTCCCCAATATGTCTCAATCTACCTGCTTTGAAGTGAAACCATCTTGGCTGAATCCTAGGGCAGTTGCCATAGCAACGTGGAAGCAGGTGTAGATCCTTCGGCCCTTCAATCATGCCTCCATTCAATAAGGTCATGGCTGATCTGGCTATTGTTTCAGCTATTGTTTCTACTGCACTTTCCTGTCTGACCCCCATGACCCTTGACTGCCTTGTCTATCAGCCATCAAACTAATTCATCAAACAATAAACAAAGTTATCTTAACACGGCCTTGAATAAATTCAATGACCTGCAAACTCCACGACCTTCTTGGGAAGAGGTCAAAGATCACACATCATTGAAAACACAAGCTTTCGAAGCTCAGCTCCTTCCTCAGGTGTGGTATGAGAGAGAGGGTATAAGGCACAGAATTTATAAGCAGAAAGGTAACAACCCAAAAACTGTCTGCCTCTTGTTGAATCTTTAATCAGTTAGGAAGGAGACTACTGATTATTATGCAAAATTCAGATTCCTCTCAAGTCATTGTCCCAAGATAATTAAAGGTTTTATGAATTTATGTAAGAAGTGACATCTCAGGTCAGACATGCATTTTAGGTGTGAGGTCTTGCCTACATTTTAAACTGGTGTCAGGTTTTCTTTTTTTTGAGAAAAATAGAATTATCTGCAACTACACAAATATCTTGGATGAAATAATTCATGTGTGTGTCTGTGTATGTGAGATAAACAGAGTGTGCACATGTGTTTGTGTGTGTGTGCGCGCGCGCGCTTCAGAGACTGAAGCGTGAGGGAGTGTGTGAGAGAATGCATATGTGTGTGAGAGAGACAGAATATGTGAGGGAGGGTCTGTGTAAGTGTGTGAGTATATAGTATGGTGGGGTCACCTGTAGTGTGACACAAACCCGAGATTACGATTGAGGCTTTCCTCATGCTCAAGGATTTTGCATTGTCGTGTATCCTGAAGTCCACCTTGGAGGATGCTTATCTGCAGATCGGAGGCTGAATGGCCTTGACCACTGAAGTGCTCCCTCACTGGGAGGGAACACCCCCGCCAGTGATCGTTGCGCAGTGTCCATTCACCCGTTGTGATAGAGTCTGCATGGTTTCACCAATATACCGTGCGTCAGGGTACCCTTGCCTGCAGCGTATGAGATAGACAACATTGGCCAAGTCACATGAGTATCTTCTGTGTACGGGGTGGGTGGTGTTCCCATGTGTGACGGTATCTGTGTCGATGATCTGATCAGATGAGGAGAAACATGATGGACACCTGAAGGTGTGGAAGGATGCCCTCATAAGAACGGGATATGATGATCAACTCATCGATCGACAGTTCCGAAGTGCCACAGCGAAAATCTGTAATGACCTGTTTGGAAGACAGACATGGATACGACCAATAGGGTACCCTTCGTCATCCAGTACTTCCCTGGAGTGGAGAGACTATGCCATATTCTTTGCAGCCTTCAACATTTATCGATGACGATGAGCACCTTGCTACAATGTTCCCTACACCTCCACTCTCGCCTTCAAACAACCACCAAACCTTAAACAGACCATTGTTCACAGCCAATTACCCAGCCTTCGGGACAACATCAATCACAACACCACACAACCCTGCTATGGCAACCTCTGCAAAGACATGTCAAGATCATCGACGTGGATACCACCATCATGTGTGGGAACACCACCCACCACGTACACAGCAGATACTCATGTGACTCAGCCAACGTTGTCTATCTCATACGCTGCAGGCAAGGATGCTCTGAGGCATGGTGTATTGGAGAAACCATGCAGATGCTATGACAGCGGATGAATGGATACCATGCAATAATCACTAGACAGGAATGTTCCCTCTCAGTTGGGGAGCACTTCAGCAGTCAAGGGCATTCAGCCTCCGATCTTCAGGTAAGCGTCTTCCAAGGTGGACTTCGGGATACACAACAATGCAAAATTGCTGAGCAGAGGCAGATAGCCAAGTTCAGTACCCATGAGGATGGCATCAACCTTGATCTTGGGTTCATTTTTCACTACACACGCAGACACGGACACACACACACATGGACATGCACACACACACACACATTGACGCAGGCACACACACATTCTCTCTCACACATGGACACACATGAATTATTTTGTCAAAGATGTTTGTGTATTTGCAGATAATTCTGCTTTGCTCAAAAAATAAAACCTGATGCTAGATTAAAACGTAGACAGATTCTAAGCAAGACCTGACACCTAAAATGCATTGTCTGACCTGAGATGTCACCTCTTGTTTTCATTGATAAAACCTTTTATTACCTTGGGACAATGACTTGAGAGGAATCTGAATTTTGCATTTTAAATCAGTAGTCTCCTTTCTAACTGATTAAAGATTCAACAAGAGGTGGCCAGTTTTCAGGTTGTTACCTTTCTGCTTATAAATTTGGAAACTTATACCCTCTCTCTCACATTACATCTGAGGAAGGAGCTGAGCTCCAAAAGCTTGCATTTTGAAATAAACCTGTTGGACCTTAACCAGGTGTCGTATGATTTTTGACCTTGTCCACCCCAGTCCAACACCAGCATCTCCACACATTCTAAGGAAGATAATCCCACACATTAAAGCCAATTTGAGAGAAAAATCTCATCATCCCCACCTTAAATGGGAAAACTCTTATTCTTAAACTGTGTTCCCTCGGATTTGTCTCCCCTCGGATTTGTCTCCCCTACAGAAGGAAGCATCCTCCTGGTATCCATCTGAACAAGTTCCCTCATGAGCACCATCACTAGGACCATACGTTCTGTTCACTCTGTGGTGGATTATAAATCCACTCCAGCTCTCGCTGTGGGTTTACTATGCATGTGAAGGAATATTTCAGGCTCTGATCTCTCTCCTCCACAGGATGATAGAGGTGGCTCTCGATTCCACCTGCAAAGTAAGTGGGCAACCTTTCTGAAAGCTCGCTTACTGTGTAACATTCCTTCTGAAAACGTCCATTTCAACAGGATTCAAGACGTCTTTGTTACTCAGAGCAAAGACCGAATTTATGGAATTTTCCAGAGTAACTGGTAAGTCGCCAAGAAATGAAAAGTTTCAGAGTAGGTCAGACACAAGGAGACATTTTTTAAAAAAGCCACTGCGTCATTACAGCCTGCCCCATCCCAGGAAAACATCCTGCTGTGTGATTGATTCACTCCCATTAATCCTCTGTGTAAGATACAGACCCAGACACATATCTTACAAAACTCTCTTGTGGGACAAGATGTCTTTAGAATCCAGTTGAGCAAGAGGCCACTCAAGGTGGAATGTATGTAAGTAATGTGGGGTTAACCCAGTTGAAGCCAGGAGGATTGCTCCATCCAGCAGCTCATTCCTGGTCACACCCTGTGGGCCTCATCACACAACTAAAGGGACACAGTCTCTTTGAGAAAGATGTGTCAGAAACATCTGATTATGGGGAAAGGCAGCGCGATAAAATCTCAACTCTTTCTGTGTAGCCACCTCAGTATTGATGCTGTAGAGTGGGCAGAGAGAGACAGGGTGAGGGTTACATTTGTTTGTGAAGGCCAGTGCATGCACCCAACATAGAAAGAGGTTATCAGAGTGATGTATCAGACTAGGTTCCACTGTCCAAGGATCTGTCTTTAATTTTCATCAGATTCCAATGCTGCTGTCAAAGCAAATGTAGCTTCTGTAACGAGAAGCTCAAAATTTAAGAACTAGTTTTAAAAATCTTACATTTGGATGGGGAACATTTGATCTCACAGTAAGCAGGAAATCAACAGTAGAAGCAAAATATTGGAGATGTTGGAAATCTTAACAGCAGAAATTGCTGGAGAAAATCAGAAGGTCTGGCAGCATTTGTGGAGGGAGAAATAGAGTTAACGTCTTGAGTCCAATAAGACTGTTCTTCCAAACCCCGAAGATATTTCCAAAGAAGAGTCAGATTGGACTTGAAACGTTAACTCTGTTTTTCTCACTCCACAACAGCTGCCAGACCCGTTGAGTTTCTCCAGCACTTTCTGTTTCTATTTCAGGAAAACCAAGGTTTGGATCTTCACTATTCTTACCTTGCAAGAAAAGTCGGTACAAATTGTCTTAATTGACTTTCTCACTGGACATTTCACTCAATATCTTGTCTGTTTTTAGGAATGGATCAGCAATCTGCATGTACTCCATGGAGGACATTAATAATGTGTTCAGTACTTCCACTTTTAAAGGATTCACTGAAGCTATTCCTGATCCAAGACCTGGAACGGTAAGAAACTGCTGGTTGTTGATCACTTGCACATCGATTTTATCAGATCCAGAAAATGACTGATATACTTCAGCGTTAATTAATTATGTGAGAATTGAAGAGTTGGGTTTTCAATGGCTTCATTAAAAGAGGTATTCAGTCATAGGTTTTGCACATGGAGAGTGAAGACACTGTGCAATCTTTCAGATGAAGCAGACTCAGAGGTTGAGGATAACTAGACCAGAATATGTGAATGAAGTTCTGTGCCCCTTTGAATTCAACATTCTGGATTTAGTTATACACAATGATTTGATTTAATTTTAAAATTTACAGTGAAGAAACAAAACTTACAACAATTTGAAAGCAGAGTTGTTTGCAGTTGAGAAATATTAACAGATGAGGAACTGGGAGGTGCTGAACTGAGGGACCACAGTGGCACTCCTGGTGGGAGGGTGTCGTTGCAAGGTGACCTGTTTATATAGGTCCTTCCTATTATAAATGTTCACAGAAAAATTCATAATGGGACAATTGCCGTACAAATGTGAGATGAACCTACATGGTGTAAGGGCGCCTACTTGTCCAGTTGTCTGGGCAATACCTTCAAAATCTATTGAAGGTGGAGTTGAGTACAGTTATCCCCCAATTAAACTGACTACAATACATTGCTGACAATGTCTGTATCAAAGACCGGTCTCTTGCACACACTCAGCATAAATACCTCACATTGAGAAGTAATTTTCAGTAAAATCTGATAACCCAGAATTTACTGATGTAACTGGCCCTTAGCTGGTGCTCCACGAATATTGACCTAGACAAATATCACGGGTCAGATGTTTGATTTGTTCAAACTTTGTTTCTTCACCGACTCTAGAGGTGAAGTTCAGTGTGAACCACTATACCATCCAATCTCCCCATGACTAAACTGATCAAATCCAATCAAACACAATCCTTTTGTGATAACTTTTATTCTAAATTTTGTTTGAGGCTGTGTCTAGATGTCAATTTTCTTCTTGTTTTTCTCTTTTCTGATTTGTTAGTTATTTTTCTAAATCCTCAATGTTCACTAATCATTTTATAGAAAATCTTTTTTATTCCTTGATTCAATTCTTTTTCCCTATCATTTCTACATTTCATTATCTCCCAGGACAAATCAATCCAAATGAGTTACCATCTAAAAAACAGACATCTTAGAGCAGGAGTGCTCAAACTGTGGGTCATGACCCCCACTGGGATCATGTATTGTGCAATGAGAGCCACAAGATCCAATATACAATGGCAGCTGTGGAGTAGAGTCTAAGATGGAATAGTCCTGTATTCAGCTCTGACTCCAATCCTGTCTCCAGTGGAACGGCAGGAGATTATTTTACCTGAAACCTTTGCTCCTTTGGAAGTCTGAAATTGTTGCTTTGCCCATGCCCTTTTGAACTCTGTCATCTCCCACAATCCCCTCTCTTTCACTCTGGGGTCACTCCAACTTAGAGTCAGAGTGTGAGCAAGATTAGATTCAGTATCTTTGAATGCGAGGGGGTCTCTAGTCCTCCATGTTGGAAAGGAGACCATGTGGTGTAGAGGGAATCCAAAGTGCATCTTGTCAATAGCTAACTTACAGTCTTCTATTCTTCTCACATTTGTGCAGTGTGGGACTAATACTCAAGAACTGCAAAGTAATGTACTGAGCGTAGTGAAACACTATCCTGAAATGGAGAGTCTAATCCATCCCATTGGAAAAAGTCCCCTCGTCATCCAGAATGAGGATCTTTTCAAGAAAATCGTCGTGGATTCTGTTGTTAGCTTCAATGGAACAGTGTTCTACGTCCTTTTCCTGGCTATGGGTAGGTCTTGCAACGTAATAGTTTGTCTTGATGAGAAGATACCTGACTTTAACACTTGTAAATGACTTGATACCTAACACAGAGACTCCCTCTGTGCCAAGTTAAAACATAATGGGACACCCCACAGTATTACACAGCATGGACAGAAGACATTCTGTCAGCCTCCTCATGCTTTCCCTTTGCCATCCAATTTATCCCACTCACTTATGTTGCCCAGGAATCTTTCCCTTTTTGTATTTATCCAATTCCTGTTTGAATATGTGACATTGAATCCAATTCCATTATCTCTTCAAATGGAGGTTTTTGACAATGAGGTAAAATTTCAGAGCCATACAGAAGCAGGGTCTCCTCCTTTCACTTTGTTTCCTGAACATGGCTTTGGAGTTCTGTGTCTCAGTGGCACATTTCCTTGCAAATTGAGACTAAACGCTGGAGAAAGTTATAAATGAGCATAGCTTGATATCCCTCCAGTAGAATAATGCTCGGAATGTATCAGGATTTGACAAGAATTTGCTTTCTGACCTCAAGTGAATGTGAATTTGATTAAATATCTTTTCTGATACAAATCAACCTAATTAAATGACAGCACGAGCTTCATGGGATGAATGGCCTCATTTTGTTTCTAGTTTTGTCAGTAAATGGAAGATTGATTAAGTCTGTCACGCTGGGTCTTTTGACCCTCCCAGAGAATTCACCATGTTTTGACGTTATTGAAACCTTGAGTCTCACTTTTCTCCCCACAGGAGATGGTAAAATCCAGAAAGTTCTGGAAAATGGACAGTCAACCTTCATCATTTCAGAACTTACAATTCTAAAGGAGCCAGGACCAATCTCATCAATGTCCCTAGACTCTGAAGCTGTAAGTATAAAGGTCAGGGGTCATCCACCTGACCCGAAAGTGAAAGATAGTAAGAATATTTTTTTCTATTTTAAGAAGAAAAGGCAGTGAAATTAACATTTTTACTTGTCTTTCTAGAAACTTCTGTATGTTACCACTGCTAAAGAGGTAGTCCGGTTCCCACTGGTGCAGTGTGAAAAATATAATAAGAGCTGTGAGAGCTGCATCATGGCCAGAGACCCCTACTGTGCTTGGAATGCCAGAGAGAAGAATTGTGTCCACATCACACCTCACTCTGGGTACGTCTGGAGAACCGTTTTCCATATTTCAAATCTCTCCTCTTAATTTTTCCAAAGTCCTAACCTCTGCTCTCCCAAGGGAAACTAATCGAGGCTGAAAGTCCAGTGTAGTCTTGAGGCAGTACACCTCACACTCTCAAGGTACCTCCATTGTAGTGAGACCTTAAACTGAACTCCTTTCTGCCCATCCTGCTGCCTAAGGGGGATGCAGAAGATCCTGTGACATTGTTTCAATGACATGTAGGGTGTGGGGCTCTCTCATTGCCAATATCTAGTCAGACAAAGTCACTGAACGTAGCTTATTGCCTCAACATCGTACTGCTGCTTGTGGGAGCTTGTTGTACATGGACCAGTTGCTACATTTCCTACATTAGAAAAATGACGACACTTTCAAGATTACTGCAAAGTGCTTTCGGATGTCCTGAGGTTGGCCATAAAAATGGGCCTTTCTTTCAGAGTCATCAGCATGTGTAGTTCCAAACATCCCACCAAGTGACTGACTGGAGAGGTCTATCCTCGTTCATGTGACTGGGCAATGAAGGGATCACTGGTAACCCAGGGAGCATGTCCCTATTAGTGTGATTTCCAGTACAATGCCCATAATGGTGTACAGTACAATGCCCATTACAGTTTCCAGTTATTGGGCACTGTAATGGGCAGTGAAATGGCCTTTCCAATGTCCAATACAATGGTCACTACAGCGCCCAGTACAATACCTATTACATATCCTTTACAATGGCAGGAGAATGCCAATTCCCTAGTAGCACCCATGTTACCGGTATATTGTCCACTGTTCAATTGATTCCCAATTGCCCAGTGCAATTTCTATTAAACAGCACCAAACTGTGCTTTAAATTGCACTGGAAGCCAGTGGAGACCACTGGGCAGTGGAATGATCAATGAAGAGGACTCAGTGTGAGTCAGTACATGGACAGCAGAATCTCCCTTATCCCTAAAATATTTTACAAACCAAGACATGTGAAAGTAAGAGGCAATCAGGAAAGCACTGATTCTTTTTGAAATGAAGTCGAACTGTGCCCTGTTGATCATCTCCCTTTTGTAATGTGAAGGCTGTGAAAGCACTACCGTACTGTAACTAACCTCACAGAGGGAAGAATTGGAGCCACTAAACTGCAGCACCCAGACTTACCTCAACATTGCATTTATCTTTACAGAAACCTTATCCAAGATCTTGAAAATGGTGATCCCAAGAAATGTCCTTCAGAAAAAGGTGAGATTCCACTGGGAGACAGAGCAGAGATTCTCACTCATTGCTGTAGCAATGGACTCAGGGTCTCAGTTCATTTCAAAGTTATAGATTACAACAGCACAGCAGTTAAGAAGGTCACTTGATACAGTGAGTGGATGATTTCTCTGCGCAGCTCAACTACAGAGACAAAATAATCAGAAACATTTCTGATTGAAACTACAACAACTTCCAAAAGATTTTGTAATCACTTCTTGTGTTAACAGTCCAAACAGTTACATTTTTGTTCTGAAGTTATCAAGTGACTTTCTGTCCTTTTTAAATATTTGGAGGCCTCACCAGTTACAAAACCGGGATGGTAATTCACCTGGGGATTGGAGAAGGTGCCAAATGATGGAAAACATTAACTGCTTCTACCTGAATTTCCAATTTTTCCTCACTTGGTGAAACCTTCTTGTATTATTTACTGATAGGATGTGGGCATGCTGGACAGGGAGCATTTATTGCCCTTCAGAAGCTGGTGGTAAGCTACTCTTGAGTCCCTGCAGTCCTTGGGGTAGGTTAGGGAGGGAGGCTGTTAGGGAGGGAGTTCCAAGATTCTGACCCAGCAACAATGAAGGAATGCTGATATATTTCAGAGTCAGAACATCGAGTGACTTGGAGGGCAACTTGCAGAAAGTGGTGTTCCCGTGTGCCTGTTCCCTCGCCCTTCTTGGTGGCAGAATTCATGGGTTTGGAAGGTGCTGTCTAGGGAGTCTTAGTGAGTTGCTGCAGTGCATCTTATAGATGGTACACACGGCTGCCCCTGTGTGTCACTGATCTACCAGTTACTGATCAAACCATTGAGCTGGCTGCATTGTCCTGATTCTGTGCTGAATATTCCATTCCCAATACCGAGAGATTCCCATTCCCATTCGGGAACAACCCCGATCAGCCTAGCTCCAGTTTGTGGCTGCTAATTCCCACAATTTTAACCAGACCGACACTAGCCCTCCCCCACCTCCCCTAGCCTCGTTGGTCTGTGGGAAACAGAGTGTAACTTTTTTTTTCTTTATTCATTTGCGCAATGAGGGTGTCGCTGGCTAGGGCAGCATTTATTGCCCATCCCTAATTGCCCAGAGTGCAGTTCAGAGTCAACCATGTTGCTGTGGGTCTGGAGTCACATGTAGGCCAGACCAGGCAAGGGTGGCAGTTAGTGAACCAGATGTGTTTTTCCGACAATCAACAATGGATTCACAATCATCATTAGATTCTTAACTCCAGATATTTAGTAAATTCAAATTCCATCATATGCCATGGCAGGATTCAAACCCAGGTCCCCAGAACATTATCTGAGTCTCTGGACTAACAGAAGCCCACCTCCAGTTCAAATCCTTTCCAAAATAGGGGTCATTTTCAGTGATGGTAGGAGCTGTCGATGCTGGAGTCTGAGATAACAAGGTGTAGAGCTGGATGAAGGGTCCAGACCCAAAACGTCAGTTTTCCTGCTCCTCTGATGCTGCCTGGCCTGCAGGGGTCATTTTCACATTTGCTTCTGGTGGGGAACCAATGTGATTGGGGAGAAGTTCAATTTGTCACCTTTCCCGAATTTTACTCTCCATTAAAGGCACTGAAGGAGCAGAGCTCAACCCGTGACCTCAAGGACTCTTTCAGTGAGAGATTCAGTCAGATTACTTTCCACTCCCCCCTCACCTCCAAGAAAATGTGAATTCTCAATTCTCAAAACATGAGTAGTGTGGACAGTTAACGGTATGTGGGATTCTTTATAAAAGGTCAGCGATTGAAACAAAGGTCATTGCAGAACAGTTTGAAGCTGAGGAACAATGTGAGCCCAGAAACAGTGCAGGGCATTGGGAACAGTTTGGATTGTTCTGTCAAAGAATGTAGAGCTGGCAAGTGTAGAGGGGGAAGATCCTTTGGTGATCTGAATGTTTATGGCTCTTTGAGCTGTCTGAACTGAAACAAAGGCAAGAAATAATTGAACCCTGAAGTGTCGGATCTCAACTATTCTCACACTGGAGATGTTTTAAGGCAGCTTTTATAAGATGGAGTACAAATGGTTTTTATTTCTTTTATTCCTAGTTGCATTTTATCATTCTTCAGCGAGAGAGAGTCAAAATGAGCATACCGATCTCGTCCTGGAGGGAAGTGGCTCAGTGTACCTTTCGTGCCCAAAGCAATCCCATCATGCACGTTACTCATGGAGGGTGCAGGGTCAGACACAGGACTGTTCTTCGAATGAAGATGAATGCCTTTTCTTCATAAGCAACCTTGCAGAATATGGAGGTAGCTCGTACCGATGTGTTTCAAGTGAAAAAGGACTTGAGCAGTTTCACACATCATATTTGATTAAGGACAGTGGATCGTCGATATGTTTATCCAGATACAATATTGCTGTCTACTCTGTTTTCATGATAGTTGCAGCTGTCTTCTTGCACTGAATTTGAGCAATGACACTCTCTCTTGTCCTCTTGCAGCAGAGATTGGAAATAACTTGTCTGTGCTTCTAGTTTGGATTGCTGCTGCGATGTATTTAGGGTAAAGTCACTGAAATATTCTGAATAGCTCTACCTCAATGGCCAAGTGACTCATCAAAGGAAGGTTGAAGGTCAGATGATCTCCATCATTATCTATTTGGGAATTGCAATTAATCTTTGGATCCTCTGTGCAATAATACATTAGATTCTTTCAAAGATTAAATCTAAAACCATTTATAAATTTACAGCTCTGCTCTTTACAGGACAAATTTATTCCAAATCTTCATTTCTGTTGCATAATTGGCTCCTTCAGGAGAAGTCAGGCCAGTAATTGTTTCGGTTTGTTTTGATTGGCTTGATTTGTGAGAGAGGTTTGTTCTGATATTCACCTCCCCTTATCCAGCAAGTTGCACGTCACCTTTTTTGATGCATGCTTCCTGTTTTCCCTCAATTACTGTTTATAGACAAAGGGGTTAGATTCTACTTGTTAATCCCTACAACCTTTTAGTGTTTACTAGTGCTGATAAGACATCAGAGGATGGGAAGTAAGAATGGGCAATGTTTTAGGTAGTACCACAAATGCTATTCAGAAGAAGTCCTATCAGATGCAAAACATCAACTTTGCTCCTCTCTGCACGCTTACTGACATATGTGCTGAATGTTTCCAGGACTTTGAGACGGGTTTGACTGGGGAAATGTTGAGAAGATGTTTACACTAGTGGGAGAATCTCAAATTAGGGGACATTGTTACGGAATAAAGGACACTCGTTTAAAACTGATGCACAGTAACAAAAGGTGGCATGGTGGCTGAATGGTTAGCACTGCTGCCTCACAATGCCAGGGATCCAGGTTTGCTTCCAGCCTTAGGTAACTGTCGATGTGGAGTTTGCACATTCTCCCTGTGTCCGTGTGGATTTCTGCTGCTGCAGAGATGCGCAGTTCGGGTGGATTGGCCATGCTAAATTGTTCCGTAGGGCACAGGGATGTGCAGGCTAAATGGATTAACCAAGGTAAATGCAGGGTTACAGGGATAGGGCACGGGCTGGGTCTGGGTGGAGTGCTGTTTGGAGGGTCGGTGTGGACTTGATGGACTGAATGGCCTCCTCCTGCACTGCAGGGATTCTATCTTCTCCCAGAAGTTAGTGAATGCCTGGAATTTTCTCCCCCAGTGAGTTGTGGAGGCTGGATCGTTGAAAGAGAAGCTTGATAGATTTTTGAAATAGTTGAGGGCTATGAGGAAGTGGCACGAAAGAGAAATTGAGGCCTGTGGAAGATTAACTTTGATCTTGTTGAACGGATATGTGTGAGAGGCCGAGTTGTCCTTTTCAGTGACTGGTATACACGCAGGTCTCGTTGGACCTCTCCTTTTCTCATCATCACTTGGATAAATTTGCTTTTACTACCAAATGGATAACGTTACACGTCCACATCTTACATTCTCTCAGTGTGACGGCCAAATACCATCTGCTGCACCTGCAAGCTTACTTTACATGACTGGTATCATCTTAAATACTACAACAAAACCACTCCCTTAATCATTTCTAATTCCTTGAGGGATTACAAGCCTGTCACCTATCCTGATCATTTTATCTGTTTAGTCAGAAATATTGTTCTGTGAGCTCTTCCCCGTCCTAAGGGTTTGTGGATAAGGAAACACTGCTCCTATCTTTGAAGGAGTGAATCAACAGCGAGAACAAATGTAAACTACAAACCAGGGAAAGTTTGGACATTGAGGCCTCCCTAATGACTCTCTGATGCTCAGAAGGCTGCTTTTAGATCCAGTACAACCAAAATAACTTTCAAAAAGAGAAGTGAGCAAAAATTGATGAAGTGTTAAATGGATAGATTGCCAGCGAAGTTTAAATTACCACTTTAAAATCGCTGTCATATTGAACTCTGTTAGGCAATCTCCCCTTGCACCCTCGGGACCCCATCACCAATTAAAATTCACTGTGGGATTCCCATTTTGCCCTTACAGGCTCATTTTGAAAGAGGTTTGCAAGAGTGGGGACAGTCCCCGAACATACTGCTCCTTTCTGCTGGTACGATTACTGATACTGATTGCTAAACGTTCTTCATTTGACCCAATATCTTCCCTCATTGGCCGGGATTAAAGTAGACTGTTTCTGAGTATCCACAAACATCAAATAATTGGAAATTAAGTTTATTTCAGAATAGGGAACCCAACAGCCATCAAATACTGAAATCATTATTAAGATCATTTCTATTTATAGGAAGCAGGGATCTATGTAAGTGTGAATGTGCTTAATACCATGCTGTGATGGTAAGGAATTGTAAAGAAATGGTGAAGGAGCAGGGGTGAGAAAGCTCATGGGTGATAGCATTGTTCTCCTTTCTGTTCATTTCTTCAAATATTCTAACTCAGAAGGTGAAAATGTAAATCCCATTGGCATGGTGGGTTGACATATTGAGCATGGAACTAACAACAGAGGGAGAAAGGTATAGAAAGTTATGCTGATAGGATCAGATGCTGAAGAATGGGAGGAAACTTGCACTGGTGGAGAGACATCACTTCCACTGGATCAACGTCCTGGAACCTCCTTCATAACCACACTGTAGGTGTACATGCACAATATGGACTGTAGCTATGAGAAGGCAGCTTAATACCACCTTCTCGGGCAATTAAGGATGGATTAATAAATGCTGGCCCAGCCAGAGACATGAAATGGACAGGAGAGGCCAGGCTCTACTGTGATGCACCCACAGTTCAATAGTTACTGCAGCTCAAGGATACTGATGTGAGCATCATATCTATCTTTTTTTGAGCTGGCTGCTTTCAGAAAAAGACAGGAAAGTTGGGAAAACTCAGTGCATGACAGCAGAGACTGTGTAACAATACTGAAATGTCGTGATATCCTCTGTATTGGATCCACTGGAGTGATTCTTGGTAACCCAATGCTGAAGCACAGGAGTTGCTTCGGTGAAATGCATTTCATGTTCCTATGACATCCTGAAACAGCCCAAGGTTTGAAGCTACGTGTTAAACCTTGACCCCAAGAACCACTCATTTAACCACAAAGGTTCTCCAATCACATGGGATCGCTTCACACTCTGCTATCAGTCTGAGAAATGCTGTTACAGTGTGATAGTTAAGCGTCCTGCATAACTGGAAGTGGAACTACAAATTACTCCGTGAAGCCTGATTAGACTTGTGCACTGTGAGCTGTTTCTGGTTTTGTGACTGGGTTGTGATAGAGTCAACAGAGCACAAACCTATGGGACAGTCTGACACTGTGCAGTTTTCAGCATTAATCATGGCAGAGATTCTCAAGCGTTTTCAAAGATGGATTGTGATTCTGAGGTTACACTGAGCCTTCCAGAGCTGAGCAGCAAGTGTTAGCCACTCACTGCTAATGATGACAGAGATGATTCTCAACAGCAATTGAACAAGAAGCATCATTCTCTTGAATGCCCATTTCATCTTTATGCTTCTAGCTTTGTTCGATTTAGCTCATTGTTGTATTTTGTCAAATGAACAGATATTACTTGATATTCTAACCAATGTGCTTTTTGCAGAAACAAGCCATACATATCCAGGCTGCAAGTACAAATAACAAGGCTGAACACCAGCACAGTCATTTTAACCAGTGCCTTTATTAATAAAGGCATCATTGTCACTGTACTAGTTAACTGCAACAATCCCATTTCACTGAACCAGCAGTGATACTGAAAGTCCCTGGGTCTTCTTTCATTTTGAATGCATGAAACTCCAGTGAGGGAAGTCCATTTTTAAACTCGGGGCTAGATTCATTTTACAACACTTGCACAGAGCCTTCAAGATGATAAAACATCCTGAGACATTTCACAGGAGTGTTATCAACTGCATTTTGTCACCAAACACAGAGCATGTTCCTCCAGTTCCTCATTCACACGTTATTTGTCTCTTTCTGTATGACTTTGAACTTTCTCAAACATTTTATCAAAATTACTTTCTTTAAAATAACTAATTTTAAATAATGTTCCTTATTCTTTATTTGTTCACCGGATGAGGGTGTTGCTGGCTAGGCAGCATTTATTGCCCAGAGGGCAGTTAAGAGTCAACCACATTGCACATTAAATAATGTAAAGAGATAATACATGACAGCATAAAATGGAAAGTTCCCTTAAATTATTTTTACATGTGCTTAAAGGCATATATCATGGTGTTTCTTGTACTTATTTATTGGTTGAAGGATTTCAGTGTTCCTAACAGAGTATCGCTGAAAAAAAAGTCACATTCTGTTGTAGCTTTTTGTCTGGCACTGATCAGGACAATTTACAAGATAGAAATGTAAAGAGGAATAGCAATCCTATATTGGACAATTGTGATTTTGAGATTTACTATTCTTGACTCCGTTCTTATGAATATAAGATGAAAAGCTTTGAACGATTCTGACGCACCAGATGATCAGAAAGCATGGCCTATAAAGAACTGTCCCACCTGATTATAGAGTTGCACATGTCCTTCTACTATTTAAGAGGGAAACCAGGGAATCGGAGACCCCAGTTTGCCTATCATCTATGGTTGGGAAATTACACCAGCCTGTAAATGACTGAACTTTCTGAAAATTTTCAGTGGATCAGAGCAAACCAGTATGGATTTGTAAAGGATTCATCATGCTTTAGAAATAAGAGCAGGGGAAGGTCATTCGGCCCCTCAAACCTTCCTGCCATTCAAGAAGATCATAGCTGATGCCTGATGTACCTTTTTGAAGAGGTAACTATGCTAGTGAATAGAAGTAGTGAACACAAATTGCTGGAGAAACTCAACAGGCATGGCTACATCTGCAAAGAGCAAACATTGTGAGCATTTCGAGTCCAATGACCTTTCTTCTGAACAGTTCTGAATGCTGGGCTTGAAGTGTTAACTCTGCTTTCTCTCTCCACAGATGCTGCCTGACCTGCTGAGTTTCTGCTTTTGTTTCTTTCATACTTCCAGCATCCACTGTTCTTTCTTCTATTTTGGTTGTCTATGCATTCTATTTATGTGGACGTTCCAAAAGCATTGGATAAATCGCAATGAGAGACTCTTGGAACTGGAAGCACATTATTGGCTTGATCCCAAAAGTGGCTGAGTGGCAGGAGCCAGAAAATTATAATTCTGGCTGGCAGGATGACATTCAACACAGGTATTTGTTGGGGTCTCAGGTTTTGAGTTTGAGATTGATTAATTGATTCCTGTTATTCAGTGATATTAAGGGACCAATGGCAAAGGACACAAATTGACCACGCTCTCAGTGAATGGCAAAATGCAGGCTCAGGAGTAAACAACCTCCTTGTCTTGTTACATTAAGTGTAAGTCTCGTTTTGGTCAAGTTTACTAGCTTCTTTTGGTGAAGCTTACATGTAAGACCAGCTCATTGTTCATCCAGTGAATTTCTAAGTGAGCTTTGTGATTGTGCTTTGAACAATGGGCCAATAAAGCTACCATTTACACTGCAACTAAATTGTTTCAAGTTATCGATTCATGTTGAAATTAAAACTCAAAACTAAGTAAATCAATATCAACCACCTTGATTTGTAACGTGCTTCATTTAACATATAGCGTGAACCTTGGTGTATCCTTCATCTGTAATTTTAATGAAACTCAAAATAAATTTACAACTAAGTCCTGATTGCTTTAAAGTCTTCATTTCTGGAGAAGAGTCACGTCACACTCGAAACATTAACTCTGCTTTCTTCCCACAGACCTGCTGAGTTTTTCCAGCAATTTCTGTTTTTATTTCAGATTTCCAGCACCCCACAGTATTTTTCTTTGACAAACTGCTTTGTTCCAGCAAAATATGCTACAGCAAGAAAGACAGCCCTACAGCAAGTCAGGGTAAGAATCTGGGACTCCTCACTCCCTAATACTGTCTGACAAATGCTGGTGGTGGGGGTGGGGGAGAGGGCGGGGCCAGGGGATGTGTGTTGGGTAATACAATCAATCTGAAGGCACGATAAACTTTGGCAAATATTTCTTATTCAAGAAATCTGAGACAGAGCTAACATTCATTGTCGATCTCTAATTGTGATGAGATTGTGGTGAGTTACCTTCTGGAAGATAACTGACTGGCATGTTCAGAAGCAGCTGTCACTGAGTCAAAATCCTGCAATTCCCTTCCTAAGGGCATTGTGGATGAATGTACAGCACATGGACTGCAGCAGTTCAAAAAGGCAGCTTACCACCACCTTCTCAGGGGCCATTAGGGACAGGTAGTGCCCAGCCAGTGATGCCCATGTCCCACAGGTGAATTAAAAAAAAGACTGAGTGAACCGTGCTGTGGAAGCCAGAGGTAGGGCCCCAGATCATGAGCCCCAGTGTTGCTCTGAGCCTGAGTCCCCTTCCCTGTCCCTGATCCCCCCCCTCCCACAACAGCAACCTCAACACCCATCCAAAGCACAGCAGGGACCCCTAGAGATCTGAAGCCTGTTTTGTTGGTCCTGATTTACACCCCCACCACCCCCCACCAACCCTTTACCCTCACCGGTCTCTCAGGCCCTGTCTGTGAGAGTGGAGTCACATGTAGGCCAGACCAAGAGAGGACACCAGATCTCCTTCCATCAAGTGAATTAGTGAACCAGATGGACTTTTACAACAAAAGTAGATATGTGATCACTAATGCCCAAGTTTTTTTTGAATTAATGAATGGACCAAATTTAAGTTCCCTCCCTGGCTCCTTTCTCAAACTCTGGTCTTCTTATCATTAGTCCAGGTCTTGAGATACCTGGCTTCATAACCTAACCACCAAACCCCAGTAGTGTGACCATCGCATATTGAAAATGGGCATGAATTGGTCACTCTCATACCACAGTTCAGTACCCAACTCAAGCATATGAAGAGATGCAGATCGTTGTGAAGAGGATCATTTATTTTCCAGTGTGGTCTTGAAGTATGCGAAGGGACACCTTCACAGTCTAATGCATTCTGAAGAACAACTTGCTTGCACTCAATGCATCGAACATCACATAGCAATGTCTAGCATACACATTGTACTCCCTGTGGCCCTGCATATAGAAATTGATACTACCTGGAACCATAGAAACCTGCAGCACAGAGAAGGCCATTCAGCTCATCATGCACTGAGTCCCTCTTCCCTGCTGTTTTCCCATCGCTCTGCAATTTCATCTTGACTTTTGCTAATTCCCTTCTGAAAACGATGATGGAATTCACATCTGCCATCCTACCAAGCCGTGGGTTCCAGAGTTTGGTCGATTGCAGTGTCCAATTACTGATTGCTGGGGCTGTCCATGACAGCTCAAAATGGCTGACGACCACCCATGGCAGATGTAGTAAAAACATGGCTGACAGTAGTCTTAGGAAGTTTTGGGAAAATATTTGCTTAACGAAGCCTGCACAAGTTAGAACAATAGTAGAATATGCAGCAGCAGTTGTTTACACATCAGACATAGATGAGAACATTTCACACCACATTTAATTAGTGAATCTTTCTCTCATTATTCAATCAAACTGTTACAATACTAATAGTAGGTTTTAACTAAGATCTGTCAAATAGTTATTGATATATATTCAGAAGTAGTTATAGATTCATCTCTATACAAGAAAACCACTAAAAGCATTACTGGAAAAGATTCAAATAAAATTATGAGAGCAAACCCCGGTCTCAGACAGTAAAAGTAACCTCCATATCATTACAGGGAGAATTGGATCATAGATACAGAAACTAGCAGATGTTGGAATGTGGGGTGAATGAATACATTGTAAGTCACCCAAGGATAAAGATAAGGGTGTCTAGTAAACGTGGTGAGAAAGAAACTGCTCACAACTCAGTAGCTAAATAAGTCTAACATTAGATGTAGCCATATAACTTTATTGGAACTGATATAACAATTAGTAAACATTAATATCCTTTTGTATGTTCTGTAGAGAGGTTAATAAACTGTATAATGGAATTTAAAAGATCCTTAAGTGTTAGGCAAGTATCCAATTGCTGGTTAACATGGTACAGCTGGCAAATGTCTGGGAAGGAATGTACTTGAATACATCGTCCATTGTGAAAGCCCCGAGTGGTGTACCACAAGGATCTGTTCTAGGTCCTCTTCTGTTTGTGATTTTTGTAAATGATTTGGATGTAGGAGTGGAAGGGTGGATTAGTAAGTTCGCGGATGATACAAAGGTGGGTCGAGTTGTGGATAGGCGGAGGGCTATAAAGGGTTACAAAGGAACATTGATAGGATGCAGAGCTGGGCTGAGAAGTGGCAGATGGAGTTTAACCCTGAAAAATGTGAGATGGTTCATTTTGGAAGGACAAACTTGAAAGCAGAATACAAGGTTAACAGAAAGATTCTTGGCAGTGTAGAGGAGCAGAGGGATCTTGGGGTTCATGTCCACAGTTCCCTGAAAGCTGCCACCCAGGTGGATAGAGTTGTTAAGAAGACGTATGGTGTGTTAGCTTTGATTAATAGAGGGATTGAGTTCAAGAGCCGTGAAGTTATGCTCCAGCTATACAAAACCCTGGTTTGGCCACAGCTGGAGTGTTCTGGTCGCCCCATTACAGGAAAGATGTGGAAGCATTGGAAAAGGTGCAAAGGAGGCTTACCAGGATGTTGCCTGGAATGGAGGGAAGGTCTTACGGGGAAAGGTTAAGAGAGCTAGGGCTTTTCTCTTTAGAACGACGAAGGATGAGAGGTGACTTGATAGAGGTGTACAAAATGATCAGAGGTATAGATAGAGTGGACAGCCAGAGACTTTTTCCTAGGGTGGACATAGCTATTATGAGAGGGCATAGTTTTAAAGTGAGTGGAAGTAGATATAGGGGAGATGTCAGAGGTAGGTTCTTTACTCAGAGAGTGGTAGGGGCGTGGAATGCATTGCTGAAGCGGGTAGTGGAGTTGGCCTCATTAGGGGCATTTAAACAGCTATTAGATAGGCGTATGGATGATAGTATAAGGTAGGGGTGGAGGTTAGATAACCCTTAGGTTCAGGGTAAAAGTTCGGCACAACATCGTGGGCCGAAGGGCCTGTACTGTTCATTGTTCTATGAGAAGGGTGTCTGGGAAACATCATGAGACCATGGAAGACCAGGGGGTTGACCACAAGCTTGTCCATCTCTAGCCATGCGGCCATATGATTAGCTTAATTGGAGGTCTTTGTAAATTAATTAATAATAGGATTGGTTTGTAATTGTTAAAGGTAGGATGAAACGAATGCATAAACATGTATGTTTTTCTTTGTTCGTGGAAGAGTTCTCTGGATTTTCAGAGTGTTTCTTCCACTGGCGTCATTTCAATAAACTGTTTGATATTGGAAGTGAACTCCTGGCTATCAAGTGAATCACTTGGTCATTCCACTCCAATACTGATATTACCACCAGTGGAAATAGCTCCTCATTACCCAACCCTTCACAACTTCTTAAATTGCCCCCACCCTCTTCTCTGCTCAACAGAGGCCACTCCCAACAATTTCTTATGAAGAGGGTGCTCAGTATTCTTGTAAATCTGCTTTGCCCGACTCTTTCTCCTTGTTACCCAGGGTATGTTTTGTAGCTTTCTTGTTTTTTCCTGAGCAAATTCTGCAAATTAACATGTTTCTCTTGAGCTTGTTGCAAATGAACATGGAACTAAACACTCTGCAAATTTGAAAATTGTCTTGGAAGAAACAAATTTTAAGCTTGGGTTGATGTTCAAAGTCAAACCCCACTATGTAGATATACTGTATCTTGAGCTGTTCCATTATTTAATTGTAAAACATGCTAAGATGTTTTTCCATATTAATGTAATACAGTTGCCACTGGCTCACAGTTTGGACTGAAGCACGAGCCATACATATGGTATTGCACTTTTAATGTTGGAATTGAAGCCTGAAGATCTGGTTAACACATGTTTTATCATGTTGTAGCACAGATGTATGCAAAATCTTAAGAAATAAAGCCACTTGATATATTATACTGCCTGTTAAGTAATAGAACATGTTCCAATACAGTGCACCCAATTTGAAAAGCAAGCCATATGTAGAGTCATCAGCCCTGGGGATTGAGAGATTGGTCAAAGGGAGAGGTTTTAAGGAATGTCTTAAAGGAAGAGAGAGGTGGAGAAGGTGGGATAGCACTGACTTCTGCAGTACGCCACTAGTCACTGTTTCCAACTCTGAAAAAGACGCATTCATTCCCATTGTCTTGTCAACCAATTCTCAATCCATGCTGATGTATTACCCCCCTATCCCATGAGCTTTAACTTTGCCCACTAACCTTTTATGAAGGACCTTATCAAAAACCTTCTGAAAATCCAAATATCCCACATCTACTGATTCCCCCTTATTTATTCCACTAGTTACCTCCTTTAAAAAAACTCCAGTAGAGCTGTTACTGTGATTTGCTGCTCATAAGCCCATGCCGGCTTTGTCTGACTCTGTTCATACTTTCCAAGTGTTCTGTTATCAGATATTTTATAACAGCCCCGATCATTTTTCCCACTACTGATGTTAGGCTCATTGGTCTGTAATTCTGTGTTTTTCTCTCCCTCTCTTTTTAAATAACGGGATTACGTTTGCCATTCTTAATCTGTAGCAGCTGCTCTGGAGACTATAGAATTTTGGAAGATGACCATTAATGCATCCAATATTTCCACAACCACCTCCTTTAATACTCTGGGACGTAGATTACCAGGCCCTGGGGAT